TGCTCCCTGCCCTAGGACCCGGAATGCCCACAGGTGCGCAGCTGCTGTCATAATACTTCAAATTTACTCTTTACGGGCGCCGTGGTATGGAAACCAGTGAGTATGACCCGTTCAGATAAAAGCTAAAGAGGTAGCACAATGGTGAGCCGGCTCCGCTCAGACAAGCAGCGTGCACTGCGTTTTTAAAGATTTGAGCTTAATCTTTCCAACTTCTGTTCGAATGACGAATAGAAGTCGAGAGCACAGAACGACCTGAAATGCACTGACCTGGCTGCTCACAAAACCCTTGGCATGTCTTCAAATCACTGAAAATGTTTTGAGAAGGCGAGGTGCAGCCATCCCACCAAAACTGCACGCATTTTCCAGTGCCGTGCTAAAGTCCAGAGTTCAAATGGTAGAGTTAAATCAAATTTGAAGTTACTAAAATCTCCAAAAAAGGACTTTACATCGAAGTACACTTTCTCTACCCATTCTCCACCTCTGCACGATTCCTTGTACTTCTCATCGAACGCATCACTACAAGAAGCTGAAAGTATTATGGTTCTCTGTTGATCGATAATCGATTGGTTAGTGCTCCTATACCTGGAACTCGTTCGTCGTGACGTCGTTCACATATCCACTGGCATGACTCGAGTGTTGGATAGATATTTTGGCCTGTACCACGGCAGTTTCCGAACCTGAATCAAAAGTCTACAGTAGTACCCGCTGATTAGCTATCGGGAGAGACTGATTACCAGAACATTCTGCAGGTATTTGAGGTAAGATCGAAGTAGTAGTGCTGTTTGAAGTGTCCATCATTCGAACAGGAGTCACGATAGCCGTCGTTGAACGGTTCCAAACATGACTCTGAAAACAGAGGCGCACAGTGTAATCTGGGGACAACAAGAGGCGTGGCTGCGTTACTGGCTAGGGTCGAAAGAGAAGCAGACAAGCATGTTAAGGAGAAAAGAATTGACGAGGGATTCCGTAGCCATCGCCAGGGCATCTTGTTTCCAGCATTAGATATGAACGCTAGATAGTGTGCATATCCAAGGGCGTCCCCGCGACAGCTGCATATTTCTGTGCAGACTTCCCTCTCTTATACATAGGTTTGCGGCTCGCTATCTCTGGACCCTGACTTTTCTGACATCACACCCCTTGTTGCCCTCAGATATGGACCTATCCAAACCAGCACTTTAGTTGTACCAGTCCTACAAACATGATAACTTTCAATTAAACTGACGAGCAAGTTCACGCGGTGGCGATTCGCATAACTGCTCACATTGATCCTGCGTGACGAAGAAGTTCTGGGACGACGACTGGCAGCCGCCCCAATGGATCGACTCGCACTTCTTTCTGAATTCCAGTATAATACAAGAGAAGGTTGATTTGCTACCATTTGAGAGTAGATTTCGGAAAGATAAGCATAAACACAACATTTCCGTTTTTATTGCATCGGAAGGGAGAACAAGACCAGATTCCGCTCTCATAGATGGAATGGAAGAGTGATCCTCATCTTTCGAGTGATGGGTAGGTAAGTATGGAGAGAGAAAAAGGAAGAGACGGAAGAAGAGAGGAAGGACTGGGATGGAGAAAGCTAACCCAATTTTTCTTCTAGGCTCCCCTTCTCTATTTAGGGGGACCGACCATCATTGTGTAAGATTTTCTCTCCGAGGACCTAAACTCTGCGCGCACTGTGCACGTTGAACATCACGTCGCCAAGCTAACGATGAATCGGTCTAGAAATAAAGCTTACATAGGTGAATGGATAAGGAAAGGCAGGTCTCTTTTCTCGAGGTTGCTGTTCGGCTTGGAGAAGAAGGGGCACTTTCGCTAGTATCTTTCGCGGTTCCTCAATACCCGTGTCATCTTGGTAAGACGGGAAGACTCTTGTCAATTGTAATGGAAGCTCATCCTAGTGCACAGCTTCACAGCAATTTCAAAGACTTCATAGAAGACCTCGGTGGTGATCGCAGAACCACCGCCGAGCCCAAATACGCCCTCCTGCAACATTCGGCTTGGGTACTATTTGGCTGAATATGTCTTTTACAGCTGTTGTACAAAGTAGGCCTAATTGAGTCTAGTCGCTACAAAAGCATCAGCTCATTAGATGAAGATGCGCCGGTAGCGGCACAAGAGCGTAACGTTATTGTGACAGTCCGATGGTATTTCCCAGTGCACAAGAGGTAACGTATTGTGACTGAGCAGTAACAGAATGATTGTGCCGAAAACGTCAAGCGCCAAACGTTGTCAGCGCCACTAATGTATCATATTCGTGATCAGGGCGAAGAAATAACCTCTAGAGGCGAAAACTCGGCGGAAATTTTCAGTTTTTGGAGTCGTAATAGTCGAAAAGTGCCGGACACCTAGGAACTTATGTCATATTCGCACTTTTCTATTCTGAACTACCCGGAAAGCGTTGGATACTGGGCATATCAGAAACAGTTACGCTCACAGTAGCTGACTGGGATCGTCGCTAATAATAGTTGGGAAAAGTGTCCAGATTCAAGAGTCCAAAATTTGAACGCACCGACCGAAGTTGAAGTAATAGCGAGTACTGAATTCGCCGTGTCGACAGTCCTCAAGGTACGTCTGATCGAACGGGTCCAGACACGCTTCTGTAAAAAAATATGTAGCAAAATATCAATTTCGTCATCCTCCTATCATGCTGCTTCATCATTTAGATCACTAAAAGATACTTTCTTCCCAAAGTACCCTGCTCAGCTGATCTCTGGCGAAGAACATCCTTAGAGCCCCATAGCCTTGTTCACTGCGGATTATGTCAGGAAGGCGGTGTTTAGCGCGGCACCAGCCAATCATGAGCTATTTTCGAGGAAAACTTGGTCTTGTATGGTGATCGCCGTGCCTCACATTCGTTATTACACTCCAAACCAACCTGGAGACTATAGGTCAGTAGCGAAGGTAAGATGTGCTACGCTCTATACATAGAGGGTGATCGTGAACTGAACGCGATATTGTGCCTTTTTGACTTGACTTTATTTCGCCAAAAAGCAAAAACTCACAGCCTTAAACGTTGATGACTCACTTGAAGCATGTGACGAATGCACTCCCATGCATTTCCACTGACAAGTTTCCTGATCGGGGAAGTCGTTTTTGGAGTATGAGAAGCAGCCACCGTGCCAATACATTCGACAGAGACGGAGAGCAGCATCGTAGTAATACCTAAAGGTATTTTGGAAATCAGCTCTGATATTTTTACAACAGTGTTAAAACTGACTGCTTTTACTTAGTACTTAACCTAGTAGTGTTGTCTAAATAAAAGGGACATCCTGTGATTTGGAGCAAGTTTCTCAAATGGAAGGACAGGGGTGACTGTTCGATACAGTACATGGCTGGCATTCTCTTGCCTCGACTTCATTTTTATTAACCAGTCGCCTCGCCGGCTGACGCCGGCGTGGCTCCTTCTGATACGGCCCGGCTGCGCCGGGCGGGCGCGGCTTCGCCGCG